CTGCATTATGCACTAAGGTGCAAACCAAACTATTAATTTTTCCAATGTTCGGACCTTTTTAAAATAAAAAAAAGTGCCAAGAACCATGTAAACTGGTACAGTTAACTATTTCAGATGCTGCAATAGAAATCAGACCTTTCTCCCTGAATTGCTTGATCCTTGAATCACTCCCCCCAAACTCTATTGACGTCTCTAAAGGACGTATTCTTATTTTAATTTTTTAAAATAAAATTATTAATCCCCTTCTAATGCTATTTTTACCCTTTCAAAAACATGTCCCATCTATACTACAGCTATTCTCGTCTCAATCAGGTTCCCTTGACACAAGGTAAACTTATTAAGCTGTTTTAATACTTCCAGTCTTTTGTCCAAAACCCTTCTCTAGAAGGAAGCCTGTTTTATTTGCAGCATCTCTAATTCCCTTAGAAAAGAAAATATAATCTCATATCAGTCATCAATTAAATGAAAAGAAAAAAACTCCCGGAGCTTGTTTTTTGATAAAATAACCATATAAAAAGAAAAAAAAAAAACACAAGTTTTTGTGACCTCCAAGACTCATAACACCCTTTTTTGTGATGACGAAGAGTGGCAAAGGAGGCTTAAATAGTTGCTTGGCTGTGAGAACCCAACTGAAACCAGCATTTCTTTTCACAACTGAGATCCAAATCTCTTAAGCGGATACGGACTTCTCCAAGCAGAATATTTTCAAAGAAGCCTTCCTCACTCAGCACAGAAAGTCGAATTTCACATTGTTGTAGATCTCCTTCAGGAATTCCTTCATATACCAACTGTAATTATGTTTAGGATAGTTTAGAAGAAAGAAAAAAAAAAGCCCATAAGAAACACAAAATATTATCTGAGATTAGTAAGTAACATAACAAGTTTTTGCTTTGACATTGTCAGGTTAGCCACCAGTTTAATGGCAATTGCTGTAATAGGTACAATAGGTACAATGTTTTTTTTTAGGATAGTGTGCAGGTAACAATTTTGTTTTGTAAAAATTAGAGAACATAAAATTCTCTATAACCATGTTTTAGAGTATGGCATTTTGTTTTGTGTCAGAATGCATTCTAAGCCGACGAGGGGAGGGAAATTGTAAAAGCAAAAGAAAAACAAAACCCTATCTAAGTGATGGAGGGAGCGCCCAGTGAGAGGGGATAACAAGCTTTGCCTGCAATGACGAAGATTTTTATGTCTGTTGCCATCATGCAATGTGAGCTGGCAATATATTTAAAATATGCACAGAATTGACATCACGTGTGCTGGGGGTGCAACTTGCTCAGGGCACAAAAGTGCTAATTACTCTGGATGTGCAGTGTTTTAAGCAGAAATAGTGCATATCCAGGCTCCTACCACCATGACCACTTCAAATTAATTAGGTGGTCATGGTGATTGGTGTAACGCTTTAAGTAGTGAACATATGTAATGCTACTAAATTACATAGTAAATTGGGCAAATTATTTCACATTTCAAAGGCAGATACTGACTTATAAAGCTTACACTGACAATAAGATCAACTGAGATATTCCACGTCATTAAAAGGTGTAAATGAGAAACCTCTTATTTAAATTGTTCATTGTACATATATTTTCGTAACTACTTAAAAATAATTTTTTCATATATGATAAGTAAACATCCTGATAATTCAGTGGGAGAAAAGCAGGACAGAGACTGTTGTTTGCATTTACAGCTTGGATTGCTGAATTAAACCACACATGGACTAATTTTAGAAACCTGGGAACAAATAGCAAACAGCATCATTTACATTGGAACTCTAACATATGATCAGTTGAGATCTGTCAAATAGTTTTTTTCATCATAGGATATATGTTCATTAAAATCAGTTTTATTACCCTGGGCAAGGTTTTTCCAGATTCCCCTGGAAATGCTTTGTGACGAACAATAGTCGTAAAGTAACCCTTTTCGCTAGTTACCATAGTAAACTCGTAAGTATCACAAGATTGTTTGTTTTCTGTTACTTCTCTTTACTCTGATTGTGCATTCCACTGTTATCACTGTTGTGACATAACTGCCATGATACTGTGATTGTATGTATACTGGCTTGCATGCCAGGAATTATCGCCAGATCCACAATACCAAAATAAATAAATTAACTAAAAAAAAATAAAAATAATAATAATAAAATAAATAAATTTGAAAATAAATAAATAAATAAATAAAAAATCGGTATTATTTCTTTAAGCCTCACAATGTATCCCATTTTAAAGATACTGAGATATATACTTACTCACATCTTTTCTGTTACAGTTCAGTCAGAGTGTTAGCAACTAGTGCTAAGTATAAAGCAAGGCGTATTATTTGAAATATACTGTGTTTACAAACTGTATTATGCTTTAGCACCATTAATTTTGTCCATATTTGGACATTGTTCTTTGGCTGAAGAGTGTACATACAGTATGTTCCATTCACACTTCAGAAGCAAAATTAGCATTGTGTGTTTAAAGCAGTTACGTACCGCTTCATTGTATGTTGGGTTGCATGTTTTACGAGCTACTTTGGTTTTCCTTTTTGTGGTTTTCTGTGGATCGGGCAAGAGGTAAATCTTCACATAAGGATTTGGCTCGTTGTTATCCTGCAAAGGCTGTTTAATTAAAAAAAAAGTTTGATTCAATTATCATTTGTAGCATGTTATTTTTAAACTTTTTATTCTTAAGTAAAAGTTAGAGCTTCAGAATTACATATTATTTAGATCAGGTTCCACACTTTAAAAAAAAAAAAAAGCCTTAAAATATATGTGAACATTTCAAGACGCCCTTTGTGGTAGGTAACAGCAATGCAATACATTGTCCTAACAAATAAAAGCAATGTTCCAGGTACTTTCCAGACCTCAATTTTCCAAGCATAAAAAATTATTTTAAAAAAAAAATGGCACACCATTTCTGTACTGGCTAAAACTAAGTATATTATTATGTTTTATCTGAAGTTTAATTTTGTTTTGAGTTCTTTTGTTTTGTTTTTGATATTTTTCCCACTGACTAGAATTTGAAGGCCAGATAGATTTTAATAGCAAAAACACAAAAATAGCAAATTAACATACACAACTAACTGCAATTGGATCAGTCAGTTCCTGCAGCTTTAAATTCAGATTTCTCTAAACACTCAGCCCTTCTTTTAGAGATTAACAGAGCAAGCAGGTTGATTTACTCTTACTTAGGCATGAAAATTTGTATATCATAAGAAAATACATAATTATATAGAAATATGCATGTAAATTAGACAACGGCCTCTTCTAACCCATCCTTGCTAAACTGCGAATATTATTCTAGCAAAGTATAATTAGATATTTACGAGCAAGCCTTATTTAACTAATACATGCATGAACACAGAACCAGACGGATAAAAGACATAAAAATAGATAATTACCAGACCACGGATGTGCATCACCATGATTAACAGCTTTTTTTGCTTGTATGATATTGAGAGTTTGATCTCCCCTCCAACTGTGCCTACAGGAACAGCCCATGTTGCATCTGAAAAACAAAATCAAAATTTTATGAAAAACATACAGAATATTACAAACTAAACACAACCAAACCAGAAAGAAAAAATATCAAATACTGCTTGTAAAAAAACGAAACAATTCAGTGTCTAAGGCAAATTATGAATGATGTCTAATAGATGAGGAAAAACTGATTTATTGTTACAAACACTTATTATTGTATTTGTTCTGGTGAGTATAACGTTAGTCTTTTTCCAGTAAACACAGAGAAAGGCAGTGTTTACACTACAGCCTTGGGACACCTCCACTGGCCACTAGAGGTGCTACCTGGGCACAGTCAGTGTCTCCACCCTCTGCATGGAGACACTAAACTTTCCTCATAGAGATGCACTGATTCATTGCATCTCTATGAATAGACAGAGATTGGATAGGGTGGCATTTGGCTCCGCCCCGTCACACCTCTTTGGCAATCCAAGAGCATTGTAATTGGCTCAGATCATCACTTCTGATAATGTCAGCCAATGAGGCAGATCATGGGCAGAGTGAGTACCAGCAGAGTGAAATATTTAGGGGGCCAGATTGTGATTTTAACACTAAAGGATCAGGAATTGATTTGTTTTCCTGACCCTATAGTGTTCCATTAACAATTACAGTATTTGACATGTTTTGTACTAGATGTATCCATGGCAAGAGTGGTTAGAATTATGTTCCATCCAAGCCAAGTATGGTTTTTGAAAAATGCCTTCCAATGTTAGATCAGTCTGCCATATGAAAAACATTGTATGATTGGAAATGTAACATTTTTGTTTGAGATATTGTGGGAACAGATTCCATGCAGTCTTTACAAAGTGCTGTGAGAGGTAATGAATGTGGGTTCATTTGGACCCCTGTCACATGCTCAGCTAATGTTCCACCTAGAGCATTACATTATTCCACCTGTGTCTGTTGCAAGTTTACCTGAAGGCCTTTGGGCTATAGTGTTACTGCCATTTTTCTCGTCACGGGGAAGGGGGTGGAAAAATGTATAAACCAGATCACACTGCAGAAAAAAAAATAAAAGCATATATCAATTTCACAAGATAGAACCTCAATACACCAGTACATGAATACAGCTAGATACACTAAGAATGTTAGGACATACCAGGAAGAACGCAATGGCATAGTAATTCCTTTCCACATTTGACATTATTCCCGGTTTTAGTTTTTTGGTTGCATTTTTGTTTTCATTTAAACTCACAGCATTTACATGATCTCTACACCAGGGGAGAATGAATTAGGGGAATTCAGAACCGATCACAAAAAAACCCAATCATGATTGCAGTGGTTTTAACATGAACTCTATCTCAGTGTCACAGCACCCCTAATTAATTTTTTTTCAGTATAGTTTTGGCAGACTCTTGACGATGAGATGTGCACATCCCCCACTCCAAAAAAAATAAAACTGCACCTTGCACACAAACATATCTACAAACATAATCTACAGCAAATGCATGGACAAAATGCTAATTTAAAAAATCTCCTGCCCATCTGTTTTCTCTTAGATTCCACATAATTAACTGGCACAAATATCATGAACAGTGAACTATAGACAATGCGCTTAAACTAGCAGGTGCCCAAGGTAAAACATTAACCACTAATCAGCAGTTCTGAGAACACACAGTAATATGGAAACTAGAATTGAATTTAATTGGCTCATGACCAAGAGAAATACATAAAGGCACCTTTATTGACTTTCAAAATATATTCTGCAGAACAGCGGAGAACCAAACACAAACTAAATATTTTAAAAGGGTTCATAAAAATGCTTTCATTTTGTCACATTAAAATACGCCCGCGCTGCTGTAGGTCTCTTTTTAAAATTATGAAAAGCATCACAGTGAAAGGTACACTGCAAAAATCCTGTATCGTTGCAGCAAAAATAGGGAAACCTAGAGTTAAAGATGCAGGGCCTATCACTCTCACGTAGGTGTCAGGCAGAGAAATATAGGAGTTACAGCCAATTGCATTGTGTAGGTTGGTCCCTAAGCTACCCCTAACACTAAAAACACAACAAACAACAACCTAAGCTAAAAACATTGTGTAGGCTGGTACCCATTAACCCAGATCACCTCCCTAACCCTAAAAATACCACGTTTACCCAGAGTCATCTTTGGCACTATACCTAAAACCCCCAACCACAGTTCTAACCTTTGCCCTAGTTAACTTGGCCATATTAAAAGGTTACAGCGTTGTAATAATGCTACACTCCAACACATTACCATTTCAGAGTGCCGTTTTATATAAATTTTTCCCCAGAAAAATGCACTAGGGATTATTTTCGAGGGGAAACGGTAGCAAGCATGTGCAAAAAAACAGGTCTACATTTGAGGAAATTCCTCCGAACATAGAGTATATCACTAGGGCATGGAATCCTGTGCATCTATGTTTGGGGAAACCTTTCCAAATATAGATTAGCTTACTTACAAATGGAGTCCTGCGAATCTATGTTCGGGATAGATTAGTGAACTAGCGATTAGGGCTTATTTTCGGGGTAGGGTTTATATTACGAGCATCCCCTGAAAATAAGCTAGGGCTTATTTTCGGGGGATGTCTCTTCAAATAATTAAAGAGCAACATTTTTAAATGCATGCCTGTGGCCCATCTTTTGCTTTTTTTGTGGGGAAGGGGGGTCACTGCTGGAGGACCAGTTTTGTGCATGTGAAAACTGGCTCTTTATATGCACAGACTAATTTTGCATAAATGCAGTTGTTTAATTAGTGTCTAATAATTCCAACTGTATTGGTATGTGACACGGGAACAAGAGGAAAAATCTTTGACCCACACTTGATAAACTATACCCCCTCTCCAGATAATCTCGCCTACAATAAAGTTAGGCACATTTGATATGTGAAATGTATTCTGCAGCCAAATCTGACATGAATGATCACCAAACACAGGTTGCTAGGAGCAGCCGAATTATTTTAATAGCAGGCTAACTTAACCAGATTGAATTGCAGCAACCAGACAAACTGGTTATCCCGTGGATATCTTTGTTTGAAAAGGCCTTAAAATGAAAGCCACTCTTTACAACCCATATTACTACAAAATCTGCCTCATAATACAATCTTAAAACAATCAAGCTGGCTCCAATTATTGTGCTTATAAGCAATCAACAACACAATTATTACAACTGTGTACATTAAAAACAACAAAAGGAAGATATTGCTCCTTTACTTGCATAATAAAGTGGCCAGGCTAAAAATTCCCATCAGGTCTACACCCTTTATTCTATGCTCCCTTTGAATTAACATTAGCATACTGAAAAGACTCTAAATTATTCATGGGGCATGGAATGTACATGCTCTTAGAGCTGGGAGAGCACGTGTGAATTATCATGTTTCACGTATTTCTGTGTGTGTCCAATTCCTGTAACTTCCACGTAGAACTAAAAATAAAACCCCAGATAGGTGGTCATGGCTAAGTTTGAAGATCGTTGCACGCTGGATCTTAAGTAAGGAGATCCCTTTGTATGGTTTGTGGTGGTGGTGGGGTGGAAAGATACGTAAAATAACTCAAACAGGGCTCACCCATGAACTAATAACATGAAATCTACATAACGCCCTGCTGCATTCTACAAACACGCCCTGTTTTACCTGTTGAAACACCTGCAATAAACAGCATCACTGTGATCTGTGCACACTGTATGACACACACTTACATCAGCTGCTTTTCCATGGAATCCTATGGACTCCCTTGATACACAATTAATTTCTATGCTTTTGCATCAGTCAAATCCACAGACACACAAGCTGAGATAAAAAGAAATCACTCAAGTTTAGCATAAAATAAATAAAGGTTTTATTTTTTATGTGCTTCTTTAATAAACTATAAAGTTAATGCCCCTGAGTGCTTGGAGAAACAAATCATTTTACACTTTTGTTTGACACAGTTGATCAGTCTGAAGGTGCATGATTAGAGGATCAGCAAGGGACAGGCCCTCTTTTATGATGTAAGTGGATGAGTGCACTTACGTTTCCTATACTAACTACAAAAATAAGGGACACAAAACAACAGGAAGAAGCAGGGGTCTATTGGAGCCAGGCTCCCCTCTAAGTGCTTCACACTGAAGCATTATGGTTTAATTCAATAGACCAAATCTGAGAGTTAAAATGTGCCTGTGTAGTCCAAACCTCTTACCTTCAATCTGATGTTTTGTTTCTTTGTTAATGCAACTAAACAGTTTAATGTAAGAGAACAGCAGGCCTAACGGTTATACATACATAACTAATACAACAAACAATACAACCAATTCAGTTTCCCTTGCACCTAGATACATTTTGTTTATATTGCTTGACATTCTATTTGAGCTGTCAAATCAGTGCATGGCTGAATAAAAACTGAAACTGAGAAGAAAAAAATAAAAAATGAAAAAGCTAATTCATTGCCAATTTTTTTTGACATCACCTGTACTAAAGTCAATAAAAGAAAACCCTGGTATCTCATGTTTGCCATGACAGTATTAAGCAGACAACTTAATTTGCAAATCCCACACAGACACAGAAAGGTATGACAGAAACCGTATTGGTTGAGAGATTTTACATGCGCCTGTAACCATAAATTTCCTTTTGAAAAACATGACCGTTCAACCTGCATCATACAGCATTGACACAAGCATTTTCATTCATGGAAGTCAATCATAGAATAAAACTCTTGTAGGAGCTTCTGTTTTGCTTTTTCACCTGTTACTATTTTAGTTTTTCAATCAATACAACTGCTGTGGCACCATGTGTGATTGGCATGGGAATTTAAGACTTAATACAGAACAGGAGTCTGTGGGATATCAACTGCTCATGATTACAGTGGAACCTGAATTAGTGTTAAAATATATTAGTTTATTTGGGTTTTTGCAGGAACTGCATGACTTAAAGTGCTCAAATTAAAGGGGAATTGTTACTTTTAAATTATACAGTTGAATATAAAATTATCCAAAACTTGTAATAACCTTTTTTCCATGCAATCTCCATTCTCATTTATTTTCATACATTTTATGTGAAATGTTTTAGCAAATTATATAATCCAGCTCAGACAATTCAAAGCAGGACAAAATGAAGATGAGGAATAGAAACATTGTTTCATGTCTCCTCTTTTCTGTATGCTTTCTCTTACAAAGAACAGAGCTCATAACAGTGATTGACAGGCAACAAGACAAAACCTATAACAATGATTGAAAGACAATCAGTTGCAGGATAAAGAGGGGGATTTCTACATTAAATTTTTTACATCTCGTAAGGATATTTGTTATAGGGATAAATAAACATGATATAACAAATTCAGGGAAGTGGCAGTTTACCTTTTATCTCAGGTATTTTATTTTACCTAGAACTTATTATTATTATATTCAGGTACCTGCTGTAAAAGTGTGAACTACTAATGTCTTACCTCAGCAACCTTAGGAGTTGCATGGATTAAATGCCAAACATATGCACTCAAGTCTTCTTTCCGGCGCTCGGCTGCTGCCTCTCCACGAGAACGCCCAATCAAAAAGCGGCTGGGGAAACTGAAAAGGATGGAATAGTGACATTAGTAGGTACAAAGTTGAATGGTCATCCTTATAGGTAGAGCTATGAAAAAAACACTCATGATTCATTTACGTTGTATCTAGGGAAAAGTATTAAATACTGGTACCATAGATTGGGCATTTTCTTTGACAAAAGAGACACAAACTTTCCATCTTTAATATGATCTTTCCATGAAAATATCAGGAAACTCAAGAATTTCAACAGTCATTATTTGCATGTGCAGATTATATTCCAAAATCATATTCACAAATCTAAGTGGAAATATAGATGTCCAATATATGAAAAATTACTATAATTGAATAAGTTTATCTTTACCATTTTTCTTTGCCAAGAATGTTTACACTAAAACATGTCATAACTGAGATATTAGATTAGCTCTGTAGTACAGTTTGTAGTAGTTTAGAAGTATAATCTTAGTAGCTGCAGGTAGGTACCTTGGGAGCTGTGATGGGAAGAAGAGTCGGAGTTTGCTGTGCATTTCCTGGAACTCCTCATATGATCGTTGAATATATGAGGTTTCATGAGGGCTCTCTCTCACCACCTTTATGACAAAAACCTGTAATCACATCAGAGATGCAGATGATGAATAAATATTTTACACACACAAATGAAAACATACATATTCATAATTGTATGCATTATATAAATGTACTGATCTACTGATGGACAGCATCTATCCGCCATAATACAACCCCCCTATCCCCAAAAAACAAACAAACAGGGAGATCACATTCTTACACCTATCCTGGAATACCACATGTTCAAATACAGCAGGAAAGCCTACAGAAGAATGTGTGTATACAGCTTGTATTGTTTTGAAATTCCCTTACGTTTATGAAATATACAAATGCAATATATTAGGAAACGACATATTATTATTGACATTTATATAGCGCCAACAGATTCCGCAGCACTTTACAATATTATGAGAGGGGGGATTTAACTATAAATAGGACAATTACAAGAAAACTTAAAGGAACAATAGGTTGAAGAGGACCCTGCTCAAACAAGCTTACAGTATATAGGAGGTGGGTTATAAAACACATTATCAATCAAATAAGGTGGGAGTGAAGCAGAGCTGGAGGAGAGAGTAGAGTGCTGCCCTTTAGGAGAGAGCAAGAGACAGGTATGTGAGGTAGAGGTTACTTTGGGAAGCCATAAGCTTTCCTAAAGAGATGGGTTTTAAGGCACTTCTTAATAAATGCAAGACTAGGGAAGAGTTTGATGGGCGTAGACAGGCTATTCCCTAGGAAGGGAGCTGCCCGTGAGAAGTCCTGCAAGCGTGAGTTGACCGTACGGGTGCGAGCAACAGACAGGAGAAAGTCACGGGCAGAGCAGAGAGACCGAGAAGGAACATACTTATGGATCTGTGAAGAGTTATAAGAGGGGCTAGAATTGTTCAGTGCTTAAAGGTATGGGTTAGCACTTTGAATGGACTCCTGTCATGTAAGCATTCATTAAGAATGTAGCGGGGCAATACGGCTTTTGGGAAGACCAATTAGGAGAGGGTTACAATAATCCATGCAGGAAATTACTAGAACATGGACAAGCTCCTTAGTAGCATCTTGCGTAAGAAAGGGGCGGATGCGGGCTATGTTTTTAAGATGGAATCTACAGGATTTGGCAAAATAGTGGATGTGAGGCTCAAAGGTGAAGCCAAAATCAAGTATGACGCTAAGACAGCGCGCTTGCAAGGATGGACTTATGTGGATACCACTAACTTGAAGGGAGAGCGAAAGAGGATGATCAGTATTAGGAGGAGGAAAGACAAGGAGCTCAGTTTTAGAGAGATTGAGTTTCAGAAAGCGGGAGGACATCCAGTCAGAAATGGAAGAAAGGCAAGCAGTGACACGTTGCAGGACAGCAGCGGAAAGGTCCGGGGAGGAATGAGATATCTGGGTGTCATCAGCGTATAGGTGGTAGTGGAATCCAAAAGAGGTAATAAGTTTGCCAAGAGAGGCAGTATAAAGAGAAAATAGAAGGGGAACAAGGACAGAGCCTTTGGGGACTCCAAACGAGACAGGACGAGGGGAGGAAGTATCATTAGAAAAGGAGACACTGAATGAGCGTTGGGAGAGATAAGAGGAAAACCATGAGAGGACAGAGTCACAGAGACTGAGTGATTTACACCGTTGATCATGCTCTCCTTCTTCAAACTCTTCAAAGGCAGAGAGGTCAAGAAGAACTATTATAGAGTAGTGGCCTTTGGATTTAGCTGCGATTAGGTCATTAGTAACTTTGATAAGAGCAGTCTCAGTAGAGTGGAGAGGGCGGAAGCCAGACTGAAGAGAGTTAAGGAGAGAGTTGGAATTGAGGAAGTGAGAGATACAGGTAAAGACAAGTCTTTCCAGAAGCTTTGAGCAAAAAAGGGAGAAGGGATATGGGACGATAGTTAGAGGGGGAGGACGGGTCAAGAGGTGTTATTTTCAGGATAGGTACTACAGTGGCATGTTTAAAGTCAGCAGGGACAACACCAGAAGAGAGAGAGAGTAGTTAAAGTTGTGTGTTAAGGAAGGCATAAGAAAAGAGAGAGATAAGGTGAGATGGGACAGGATCGAGCGGGCAAGTGGTGGGGCGAGAGGAAAGGAGAAGCGCAGCAACCTCTTGTTCAGTAGCTGGGAGAAAGTCTGAAGGGTAGGAAAGGCATGATCTACATGGTTGAGAAAGAGAACGGCAAGATGGGGAGAATTCTCTCCTTAGCTGTTCAATCATGTCGGTAAATTAGCAAGCAAAGCTATCAGTTGTAAGCTTAGTTTGGGGGGTTGCCACAGCAGGGCAAAGAAGAGAGTTAAAGGTGTCAAGGAGAGGCCTGGGATTGCAGGAGCATGAACTAATGAGAGAGGAAAAGTATGACTGTTTGGCAAGGGCTGCGCTGTATGAACACAATATGAATATATAATGGAGAAAGTCTGACTGGGTGCAAGACTTCCTCCAGGAGCGTTCAGCACACCAGGGAGCATCTTTGCAGGTAGCGTGTTGATTTAGTATGCCACGGTTGGGGGTGTGTCCTCCTCAAGGTGCATGCTTGGAGCGGGGCTGCAGCGTTCAAGGCAGAGGAAAGGGTAGTGATGGATAGCAGTTGTGAAAATATAAGCTGACAGCTGCTGGTGGTCAATATAATTAAGGTTCTTTATATATAAGGGTGAGACCTGTCTATCTCCAGAGAGAATTGAGAAAACTTTCAATGACTATTACTGTCAATAATATAATCTGCCCCACAACCATGCAGACCCAAAGGATTTTTTTTAAAGACAAGATTATACCAAGGATCTCAGAATCTCAATTGAAGGAATTGAATTGAAGTATGGTAAAGACCAATGATCTATGAATAACTGCAGCATAGCATGTTATATTGGGTAATCTATTATTAAGACCAAATGCCACATAATATTTCCTATGCATCATGCAGACAAAATAAAACCCTTACATAGAAATGTGGATTGGTGTGATTAAAATATGTAATATCTTAATATAATTAAACATCTCTATAATTATAACTATATTTATATATATACACACACACATACACACATTAATATATATATATATATTAACTACACATCTCTACAATTATAATTTTAACTATATATACTATACATATAAATATTAAAGTTATAATTATAGAGATGTATAGTTAAGTATACTTAGTCTTAAATATACATTGAGAAAGGTGGAGAACATTCCATAGCAGCACAGATGAGTCTTCTGTTGAAGGTATCATTGCTTCTAGATGGGCTTGTGTGCGAAGATGGACAACCAATTTCAGCACAGAACATTCTATTCTGATAATGATTGGTTAATTATACTCAAAACTGGTGTGTATGTATATTTTCTATGAGTGACCTCAAGTACTCAAAATACCCAATGTTTTCTCCCAATTATAAGTTTTTTTTTCAAGCATATCTACTTATTTCATGATTACAACTTTACTTATGTGAAAAGATCCTAGAAACCTCAACCAAACAAGTAAGAGGCAGAAATTGAAGAAACTCTACTGTAGACAAAGAACGCAGAATAATTACTCACGTATCCTTTGTTGGGAGTAAATATTTTCTTGTATCTGGTCAAGAAGACATCACAGATCTTCCCATCTGTCTTTATTGTGTATGTCTTTGGAGCAAAAGAAAGAGCAAAACGCTCATCTGAGCTGCTGAACTTGAGCTGGGCTAGATTGTGGATGAAAAAGTTCAATTTGGTGGCCACGGAACCAAGACTGGACTCTATGAGTCTGTAGGAAGGAAAATAAAGAGAAGGTCTATTATGGCAGGTTAGCTAACCCGTAGCTAAAATATCCCAAAACATATGAATAAGATTAGGATACTGTTTATGACATCACATTATATATGTATTTTTTTTATTGATCATTTAGAAGGAATTTCCACAGACTGCTCTGATTACCTTGTGAAATAAGTGGTGGCATCAGACTCTGAATCTTGAGGACGCAGTGCATCATATACATATTTAAGATCCTGCAACTCTGACAGTTCTGGAATGCCACATGAAAGCATCTAAAATAAGACAAACATAGAAGAACAGTACTAATACGGTCATATCAGCATACGTCATAAGAATTATTGGAATCAAAAAACATAATTTTTCATCTATCCTAATGACCACATTTTAACACAGTAGGCCACTGTGCAGATGTGAACCACACATGTAGTCCATCTGTCCTGATTACGTTTATTTTTTAATGTTACTGATATGATATAATATACATGTGTTAAGAGCCATGTCACATTTAGCTCTAGCATTTTCTAGAGATCTAAATACAGAGTTTTATGTAGATTTTTGCATATAATTATATCAAATACCCCTCTTCTCTCAATTAAGGGAAAATAATGTATGCAATTAATATCTTTACCTGTGTTTTTCCTGCTGACTATGTAAATTTGTAAAAGCCATCTTTTTTAAGTAATTGTGCCATATTTTAACTCTAAGTGGCCTTAAATAAAAACATGGGGAAGATTTCAAATTAACAGCCATTCTGACAAATGTTTACACGTTACAATGCTTACAAAATTAGTAAAAAAATTATTTTCATTACAAAAACAGTAGAGATAAACAAGCCTTTCTGCCCAACTAAAGTTCTATGACTCACTCACCAGCCCTAGGAGATTAAGGAAGAGGTGAGTGTGCTTGCGGATAAGGTTGTATGCTTGGCAACACAAATCCACAAAATCATGGAAACGGCTGGACGTCTTGTCTCCTCCATTAATAACATAGGCCATATCTGATGTGAAGACGAAGGGAGCGCGGTCACTACAGAAGGAAAAGGTACATGTAGACATGTAATTGAAGTAAGCAGGGGAGTAAACATTTATACAACTAAAATAATATATATTGTTAGGTTAACAAATAAAATAGATTACATTGGTTACTTGATACAAGCCTATAAAAATGCATTACATTTTATTTAATGGTGTTAATTGAAAAAAAATAAAAATTTTTTTGTAAAATTGAAATCTGAATGACAAAATAGAGGTTAAAATAGTCAAGCTGGGGCCTAACCACGGAGCTAAACAGTCGCATGGCATCGGGGCTCCAGTGATTTCACACCATTAAGTACCATTTTGGGCAACACAAACCCACACAAACAGCTGCAAATTAAGAGTGGGTAAACCGGCATGGGTCGGAATACTAAAAAGCAGAAACCCGCAAGGCCTGGACATAGCAGACTTGCTGAGAAAGGCACAGGGAGCTGTTAGGCGCAATATGGCCGACTACCCGAAGACGCACTCTGACATCTCGGACGTTTTTTCCCTAGGTAAGGAAATACCCGCTCTGCCGGCCAGGTCAGCACCGGCACCAAAACCCCAGAGCTCAGATTCAGCACCAGTGACAACAGAGGTGCTCAAGCAATTACTGGCAGATCTCCAGTCGACCATCCAAACAGATGTGGCAGGCCTCCGATCAGACATCCAAGGGCTGACAGCACGTCTGGGCACTTTGGAGAATACATCCGACGCCACATCACTTCCATACAGCAGGAGATCCAGAGACTGTGGATCTGCAACGAAGAATACGACCGAAGATTTGCAGTCCTGGAGGACACACGCAACTCAAATAACCTACGGGGCATATCAGAAGATACGCCAACAGCCGAATTACCGCATCTTGTGCGAGCGCTCCTGGCAGTGCTGTTACCACCACGAGAGGCGAAAGCCATAGAGCTGAACAGCATCTTTGGGGCCCCAAAGCCGGCAAAGGCACCTACTACGGCCCCTCGAGACCTCATAATCAGCTTCCAGAAGTGGAGGGACAAAGCAGAAACACTGGAAGCAGTTAAAGACCATACACCATACTCGTTTGAACCTATGCCGCTTTCATTCCTCGCAGACTTCTCAGGCAGCACGCTAACCTGGCGGCAGTCCTTCAAGCCATTCACATTTCTCCTCAGGAAACACAGGATACCATACCGCTGGTGTTTAACACGCTCCCTAACAGTTTTCAAGGGGGAAGACAAGCACAAGATATTCGACTAGCAAGGGGCGCATAGCCTACTGCCAACACTGTGATTGAAAGTCATAAAAATGGTAACAGGTGGAATAAGCAGATATAAAGCCATAATCAGAAGAAGGAATGCAGAAATTGTGTGTTAAAAAAATAAAAAAGGAAAAGAAAGATCAAAGTAAGAAACAAGAGAGAAGCGATCACAGCAGTGGAGGTATGAGATTGAAAGTAGATAGAGCAAAACAGATGTCTTTCATTTTTGTTTTTGCCAGATACAGCAGCTTGTCACAGCTTCAGAGTATGGAGAGAAATCGGACAAGATCTACACAATTTTGAGGCATTCTATTATATGGTAATTCATTTCTGCCACCTATTCCGCCACTGGGGACACATCCACCACTGCTTGCAATTACAAGTCTGTTTTATAAAGACACAACCTGTCTGAAGAATGCTCCTTTTCCATTACATAAAAAGGATCTGACCAACAGGTCAAAGCATGACATCTCAGCACTAGATTATATATAATTAGAATAACCCAATTAATTGAACATAATCGCATGACGATTAACCATGATATATGAAAAGTTTAATCTTTTAAAGTGTGTTATTTTAACAATGTAACAAAACAGACACCTCCACTCAGGTAGGTAATACTAGTATTTTTTTTTTTATTTGACTAAGATTGTATTAAAATCACACAACAGGTCAATTTGTTGTCAAAGATATTCTTACCGTTTTATATTCCCAAACATCTGTGCATGACCAAGAAAGCGTCCAAAGTCAATGTGAAACATGTGTCCGCTGGTCTTAAGCATGATATTGTCATTGTGCCGATCACAGATGCCAAGCACATATGTTGCAACACAACACCCAGCACATGAATAGATGAAGTTTTCCACTGCCTGTTTAAAGAAATAATGTGCATTAGACTGTATACTATACCACATCACATGTAACCCATTATTAAGCCCCTTCACCGCTTTAGATCAAAGTTTATGCTTGTAACATACACACCATTCCGCTGCTTTGAAATCATATATTTATGCATTAGCAACTTAATGGTTCAAAGCTCACAGCTGCCGACAGCCCCCAACACAGTATAGCATTTTATATATAGATGTACTATATTATATTTATTGACCATTATATACAAGGCCAGCAAGTATCTGACTACAGGTATATGATTTCAAACCAGACAAGGGCACCTTCTTAGCATTAGTATATTATATTTGACTTTTATGTCAAGTTTTATTATTCTCGCCCATGATGTCTCACACGTTGAAGTGCAGGTATTCGAGAGTAGAAGTCAGCCATATGCTGAGTTGCTAGAGAGGAGAATACTTCCTGGCACAGGAACAGTGAAACCTGCTTTATGCTGGTAGAGGATTGACAATAAAAGAATCAGTGCTCTAACCCACTACAACTTCATGCTGTAGTCTAGGGAGCCTGTCTCAACTTCACAGTGCTCCCCTGACCAGGCACGGTCAAAATCAAGAGGATATGCAGGATTACAATACCTTAAGGTGACAAAGCATCATCTGAATTGGAGTTCTGAAAAGGCTGGGAATGAACCTTTTAACCATTCCTGAACTAGAATTCCATTATACGGTATTGTAATTCTGTATTCTACTCCCAAATTGATTTCTCCTTCTGAAAGGTGTATGTCTTTACATTTCACACTAATAAATATCTCTCTGATGTTAATATAAATAATATTTTCAACGTACATCATGGTAACAAATCCTACTTGGTAAAAATAACAAAACAAGTACATTGCCCACTGGGAAACCACATTGATCAACTAAAAATGAATATCAATTACTAAATGAAGATGCCATATTCAGTGAAATAGATTACCACCCTCACCTTTTCATACTCCTCCTCTGTAGGGTTGTGCTTTTTAAGCCAGTCTGCCAAGGGACGATCTTTAAATGAGCCAGTGACTCCATGTTCAACTTGGATTTTCCTTAGGGTCTCAGCTTTAGGAATCATTTCCACCATCCCTGCAAAATACAATTAATATCAAAGAATTAGTAACCGAAAAAGGTATATTTAGCTTGTCACTAGTCTTTGATAACTTCCTAGGTCTAGGGATCAGTACCCAACTTAAAGGACCACTATAGGCACCCAGACCACTTCAGCTTAATGAAGTGGTTTGGGTGCCAGGTCCATCTAGGTTTAACCCTTTTTCTGAGAAACTGCTATGTTTACCTATGGGTTAATCCAGCCTCTAGTGGCTGTCTCATTGACAGCAGCTAGAAGCGTTTCCGCGCTTCTCACTGTGAAAATCACAGTGAGAAGACACCAGCATCCATAGGAAAGCATTGAGAATGCTTTCCTATGAGACTGGCTGAATGCACGCGTGGCTCTTGCCGCACATGCGCATTCAGTCAATGATGGAAGAAGAGGGAGGAGAGTCCCAGCGCCGAGGGAGTAAAAATAAGAAAATAAATAGCTGATCACATTTATTTACTTACCCCTTGTCCTTCCAAACTCCAGACACATAAACCACTCTAAAGGTAGTTGCCTTAATGCACAATCACATCTATAGCTTGACCAATTATAATGGGATTATTTAATATTACACCTGATCGCATCCCTTTTGATCTAAAAAATATGAACTATGCTTTTTTTGTAATTCATTACCTTTTAAACTAAAACATATTAGATCAAAGCGTGATACAAAACGAGGGAGTTCTCAGTTGGTAAAAGTGCACTGACACACAGACCTCTCATGTATACATCTCGTTAAGTGAGAGAGTTTGTCTATGGAACTCAAATCCTCCTATCCCTCTTTTCTAAGGACTCAGAAAGGTTAGAGTGTATTAATGTGCTCTGGAGCAACACAGCAATCAAAATCAGAGCGTATATTGTCATTAAATTACAAAAATGGTAATGGTAGGAGTTTAGATAGCAGTTTGTGCACTGAAATACTGGTATTCTTCTAAATCCACATCTATAGTTACATAATTATCATGAAGTCACCTAAAATTCACAGAAAAGCCCACCAAGTAGAAAACCCACCAGTCATTTCAGCTCTCTGGCTACTTGAAATGTTTTTTTTTTTTAAATTCTTTATTTTTTCGTGCATGAGTTAATTCAACAAGCATTCAAGTCATGCCCCAACAGCCATGACATGCATTGAGGTTGACAAAGTATAACAGTTGCATAGGTGGCATATGAAATCGATGCACATTTTTATATGGGGGTTATCAAAGGGAACAAGATGATAGCCAGTGGTGTGACAGCACATCAATCAATCACAAGACAAGACTGTTCCTGCTCACTGTATTAGGCAGCTAGCCCCTTGCTTAACCTATCTCTGTCAGTGGGTGGGCAATGGGCTGGTGCTTTAGCGCAGTAGGTAGCGTATTAGGTTAACCACAAAAGCTGGCCTCTCGTTGTGGCTGCAATGACCTGGTGGAGGGCATGGGAGACATAATTAACGTGTCTAGGCAGCTGTCTAAACAATAAAAACAAGAAACAATAGTAAAGTATAGGCAAACACTGGGCCAATTTACAACTATGTCACCTTCGTTTTGTGGTGCATGCATTTGTGAGAAAGCTTGTCTCCTCCATTCTTATGTGCCCTCTGCCACATTGCGGCACTGCTACGGGGCGTAGGGTACCGTGAGTACGGTCTGGCCAAGTCGGCAGGGGGTATGATCTCCCCCTTGGGGTGCATTGCCCTAGAGGGTAGATCCAGGTGCGCATTGTGTAGTGTGGTGGCTGTGTGCATGGGGGTTTGTGGGGGAGAGTACGACTTGCCGCTATTTGTGTGGTGATGCCCTAGATTTACCGGTGGGTATGTTGTGATAGATGGCTGTTGCTTGCTTGAGTGGTTGTGAGCTTCGGGGTTATCCGGGTGTGTTACCCTGTAACCAGGGGGGGGGGGGGTCATTCCTTTCCGGGGTACGAGCAAGGTGCCTTGCGTTCCCCAGCGGTATGGCACTCCTTTGGACCGGAGGTGAGTCGTGATGGGGCCCATTTGTCTGCGCCACTGCAGCGTTGCCCTAGTTAAGTCGTGGAAGAAATTTAGAGAGGAGTTCTCAAACTGTAGTGGTGTTTTACCACGTGTTGCCGCCATAATGTGGCTTTTGTCCTTCGCAGAGGACGATTACGTCCCGTGGCCCAGGGGTGGAGAGCTTGGCCATGCTGGTGAGTCGGAATATGCCATCGAGTGTGACTTTTTTGGCCACCGCTGGTGGGAGTAAGGCGGCCAACAGCCTCCGGATATAATGCGGGAGTTCTTCAGCACTTACTGCCGCTGGTATGCCTCGTATTTTAATGTTGTTTCTCCTTAGTTGATCCTCGAGGGTTGTCAGCCGTTGCGCCAGTGCCTGGTGGTGAGTATTGAGCTGCTGTATCGGGTTCTTGAGATGGGCCATCTCAGTCTGCACATGCCGGATGTTTTCCTCCACGGCCTTAATGCGGTCTGTGTTTGCATGAATTTCCGTGCGTACTCGTGCGAGGTCGGCTGCCATCATTTTGTGGAGGTCTGCAAGGAGTAGTTTGAGGTCACCTTTGGTGGTCGGTGCCATGCTGTCAGCCTGCAGTAAGCTTAGGGATGGCTCTTGGTGGGGTGTTTGCCCGAGTTCCACGTCCCCGTTCTCTGTCCCCGATTGTGGGACCTCTGTGGCGTGGTCGGCCTCTGCTGTTGGCGTCTTCGAGGCCGCGGGTCTCTGGAGCATAGCCCCTATGTCCCTGTCGGGTTTCTGTGTTCGGCGTTTCATAGTCGGGGTGTCGGGCAGCGGGGGTGACCAGGGCTGCTCCGGGATGTTTGAGCTGTGCGCTCCGATGAGGGAATCGAGGAGTGAGTCTAGGCCTTGAGGCTTCGGGTAGCGGTAGGCCCCAGATCTGCGCCTCGGCTTGTTTTTCCCCGGGGTGTATTGAAAGGGCATCTGTCGATGCGGCTCAGTAACCTGTGTCCAGTTTTCGTGGTTTCGAGGTTGGATGGCGAGTTGGGAATGAGATATTAGGCAGATTTTGTTGGGCCCGTGAGGATCTCAGAGAAATGGCGACTGTTCAGTTGCATGCGTTAGCTCCGCCCCCTCAGAACCTACTTGAAATGTTTTGAGATGTGGACAAGTAGTAACACTTGGTGCTCTGATTCAAAGACAAGTTGACGTTTGTGGGAGTGACAAGGAAATTTAAAGCAATGATTAAATAGTTTGCACTTACCCCGCTCATGTCCTGTGGAAAAGCAGCGAAAGATCACCATCCGCATGTCTAATCCTTCCTGCACCCAGATCTTGTTCATGATGCGAATCATCTGCAGGGTTAGCATGTCCTGTCTTAGGTCATCTCCACACTGTATGAAGCAAAATGGAGATGCATGTTAAGAGTGGCAGAGAAAATACATTGTTTCTTAACATAAATGGTGAAGTGATGCAGCAAGTTAGTTGAAAAGTTGGCTGGATGGCATCAAAGGATTTTAAGGGACACTCCAGACCCCTAAAGCACTTCAACTTGCTGAAGAGCTTTATGTGTAAAACTGGCAGTTCTAGAAATCAACCTTGTTACAACCAGCTTGGATACCGGTTAATTTTTTGTGAACCGTTTTTTTTTACCATCAAATTTTTCATTTAAATGTATATTATAGATTATCAAGATTACGTTATAACCCAGCTCAGCCAAGGCACACATTACATTAAAAGGAGAGACAGAAAAACTCTGTTTTGGTTTCTCTTCCTCCCTCTATGCTGACGGATAATGGCAAAGGGCATAGCTAATAACAATGGTTGACAGAGGGCCAAGGTTCTTGTTTCCAGTGACATGGCTGAATACAGTGGATATCTAGATTCACTTTATTTTTTAGACCTCACAAACACATATTTAATGAAAAGGTAGAAGTACATAATATTAACATGAGTTTCTGCATATCATAATCACCTTTAACTGCCTGTACTTATTTTTTCGATATGAGAGACAGAGAGAGAAAGAGAGAGAAAGTGTGTTATATGTAAAAACTTGCCACCCATGACAGGATGGTATTACCTGGTTTCTGCTAAAGTTGATGGCAAGCCACATTTGTATATGGTGCTTATGTACATGTGCAGCATATTTCTGTCTTATTGCATACTAGTCTATACTTCTTTTCATTTGAATGTATAGGGATTGTCAAAATAGTTAGAATTGTTGCTCACCATGGCAGAGCAGTTCTCCAGGATTCCAATACCTCCCCATTACTTGGTGAATACTTTACAACCCAGCTTTAGCATTCTATTTTGCTATCTGAATATCTACATCTAAGGGGTTACATTGTC